AAATTTAATCATAATTTTTCAAAAAAAAATAAAAAAATATATATAAACTATATTATATATATATATATATATATATATATATATATATATAATTATATCAGTAATTTTTTTTAAATCAATTACTAGTCATTTCAGGCAACTCCATTTGAATTCTAGGCGACCGCAGATGGGGTCACAACCCCAAGGTTGCGACACAGTGATTTAGTGTGTAAAATAATGCTGCACTGGCTGTGAGTTCAGTCCAAATATTGACAAAAAAAAAACAAAAAAAAAAAACTCCGATACAAGGTGAGCAGTAGCCGCTTCACGTCAGGTGCGACGAGTTCATATGCAAAGAAGGGTTTTCACACATTGTAGGTTTGAAACCCAGTCTGGATGTCACTGTGTGTTCTGGAGTGAGCTACTTGACTCATGTCAATATTTAGTCAGCTGTACAAACGGGTGTTGTGCAAAGCCTTTAAAATGAACTGGCTCTGTGGAGAAAGAGCCGGCGATGAACAGAAGAACAGAACAGAAGAGATCGGCACCGATTCACCTGCTCCGCTCCATGAACGTCAGCGGATAAAAAAGCAGAAAGATCAAGGCTGAGAAAACACCAACGCACTTTCTTCTCAACACAACAAAGGCACAGAACACACCAACACAATGCTCTGTGTGTGTGTGTGTGTGCAGAGTTCAGCTGATTGGATGGCTCCCTCTTGGGGTGAATACAGCACTGTCAGCACACACACATAAGTTAAAAAAATCTGTGTTTGTCTGTCTGGTTTTCATAAATTTGTAAGGACTTTTCACAGACCCTATTTTTAACCATAACAAACGTATAAATAATCTTAATCCCTAATCCTAACCCTTTACTTCAAAACATTTTATTCCTCACTTCAAAATAAATCTTTAACCTCCAAATCACCATTGGTGCGGACCTGAAAAAAAAAAAAAAAAGTCCTGACGAGTATAGCTCCACCTAGACCAGCGGTCCCTGACCTTTACTGTAGCAGGGACCGGTCGGTCGTTAGTTTCAGAGTCTCAGAATGACCTTTGACCTGTTGAGATTATCATTGAATGAAAAACAGTAAAGGGACATGATTGGATTATTTTAGAATGAAGTAAATTGGTAAAACTAAAATACTTTTTTTTATGTGTCCCAATGCGGGCTTATGGACCAGCATTGGTCCCCAGACCTAGGGTTGGGAACCCCTGACCTAGACCACACACACACACACAAACAACATTACATAAGTTGAAAAGTGACTCTCTCTCTCTCTCTCTTTTTATTAACCATTTTACAAATACACTTCGAGTGTGTGGTCTTCCTCTAACACACACACACACACATTACTACACAGTGAGTATTTTAATGTCTGGCTGGATTTCCTCCCTGTGAATTATAAGTGGAGACTGTGTCTCAGCGTTCAAACCACCACAGAGGCAGAGAATGTCTGGAGTTGAAACACGACACTTTAATGATCTGGAGCTCATCCAAACTCCCTACAACCACCACGCCTTCTTTCTACACTGGACTCCCTTGTCTTCTGTGTTCAACCTAAACGGCCTAACGACGTCGTCAAGTTGATGACAGGACGGAGTCTCCGGGTGGAGCAGGAGTCCACAGTGGGTGGACCTCCACATGAGACCTGCCGTGGAGACAGGCAGCTGTAAACAAACACGGGCCTTGTTGTCCCGGGGCCTTTTTGTATTTGTGTGTTGGTGGTTTCCGGGCAGATTTAAATAAGGAAACCCACATGAGACGTTATTATTACAGATGACTCAGCAGAGGAACGAAACATTCCCCCCCCATTTTACCAGCCATAACAAACAAAAAAAAGTCAAAACGTTCTGGAGAGACTCGTGCTATAACTTCTAGCATGTTCCACGAAGAATCGTCTGAGACTAACTGCTGCTGTTCGGATGTTAATGAGTCCACGAATATCAACGTACGAGCTGGAAACGCAGCACATAACGTCGAGTTACGTAAACGGCAACGTCCTTAAGCCCGCCAAAGTTTATGTTGACCGAAAATAATCAATTTGATCGAATAAGTGTGCTTAGAAATATGTTTGAAACATCAAAGTATATTAAAATGATAAAACACAACATGTATTTACCTTGTGCTTGTTCGGAGGGGTTGGTAATTGTCTCATTTACTTTTATTTCTTGTTTCTTTGTTTTACCGATTTACATTTTTCACCATTTTCTCCTTCCTTTACGTGGTCAAGACAAACATGGAGCGTTAAAACAGATCCTGAACGTACTTTCAGAATAAAAGCACGATCGGAAGTAACCAAATAAAGCAATTTTAAACGCTAAAAACTATTTTTTTGTTTTTACATAATTATGAAAGGCGTCTGATTTTACAAACTACTAACTAATACTTTTTGTTTCATCACAATTTTTTGTTTTTAAATCAGAAACATTTAAAATTTTAAAATCGGAATTTTTTGAACATTAAAAGAAAATTTAAATGTTCTTTTTTTATTAATGGTATTTTCAAAGTTATCTCAGAGATGTATTCGTATTGATTTATATTAAATACAGGTCTGTACAGGTCTGTACTGGTCTGTAGACAACTGTAAAAGTGTGTAGAACCCTCAACTCTGTCAGACCAAACAACAACCTTGTTTTTGTGGCCTTCCCTCAGCTGATGCAGTGCTTTATTTTATCTCCATGGCTTCTGTGAAATGTTCTGCCAAACAAGATTTTATTTTTACGTGTGGAACAATGTGGTAACACATCCCTGAGGCCAGAACAGAACTGCAGAAGGAGATACAGTCCTAAGATAAAACAGGGCTGAGTAACTGAATAAATACTGAGTCACTGGAAATAAGCGGTAATTACGACAAGGCTTAGTGTGTTTTCACTTAGCGTTTTGTTTTTTTATCAATGTGAGTTGAGTCATGTTTTTTATTTATTCACTGTGGTTCATTTTTATCTTACCTTTGCTCAAAGAACGTTGAATCATAGCTCTAACAGCCTGGCTCAGGCTACATCAGTGACTTTGTCTTAGACATGACACACACTGCACATGTGACTCACTTATCCTGGTATGGTCTTCCTGGCCAACAGTCAGGCGCTGTCAAACATACGGCCTGCGGGCCAAAACTGGCCCATTAAGGGATTCAATCCGGCCCGCTTGATGAATTTTGAAAGTGAAAAAATGAAAATGCACAAAAACTTCATGTTGGTGACGTTTAGTCAAATTATATTTCATTAAATATAAATATTTTCTAATATATTTGTGGTTATTTGCAGGAAAACAAGGACTTGTTATCCATGGGTAATTATGTTAATATAAGTTGAACACCAACACTCAGAGTCGCCAATAAGGTCTTTATTTCAATTCAGTCAGTTAAAAAAAAAAAAAAAAAGCCACAACGTAGCTTGGATATATTCTTTGCAGAAAATCACCTTTGTTGAAATGAATTTATCTGCGAAGGAATTAATTAACTTCCTGCTACAAAACCTCTGCAGGGAGAAAACAAGTAAGGCCAGTCGATTACAACCAAGAATTAAAATCCAAGCAGCCAACGAATGGATCGTTTCCCTCAATAATTCAGATGGCATGTATAAAATTTACACATTCTTCTGAAAAAAAAAAAGAAATATTTACAAGTCCTGATGGTGTTCTTTTTTTCAGCCATTAAGTTCATTTAAAAAAAAAACAAATGGGAGAAAACAGAATCAATCTCTTAACTGACTGAAGAGAGGGACAATCAATCACATACACAGTATATTTCAATGATATGCTCCTTGATTTGTTTCATCACAAATATCTTCAGTGTCGGTGCCTCACACTGGTGTACGGTCTGAGAGAACTGACTGCGTCTGTGGTTCCTGTCCTTCTTTAAACCCCGGAGTCTGGCACTCCACGCTGGCACTCTGTTTTGGTCTGCCGTCAAATGTATGTTTTCTTGAAAAAAGGTTTCATGGTGATGTAGAAAAGTGGCCGTCCACACGCCCCGACTTGTGTTTTAGCTACATTAAGTTACACGCTGTATTTGTCGTCGTTGTCGTCTCAGGATATATATTTTTCCTGAGTTGTTACTTCTTCAGCTGTTACAGATAACGTCCTACGTTGCTAAGCTACGAAACACGTATTGATGAAATCAGAGTATGGACACCAGGTAGCGCTACCTGTGGTTACAATTATTTTTGAATTATTTTTGAACATTAATATAAAGCATCTTTTCCTTGATATGTCAACCACTCGAGTTAGGCTTCGCTTCAGCGTCTACTTAAACTGAGCCAAAAAAAAAAAAAATAACAACACTGTTTACGTGGATTCTTAACAAGGAGGAAGTCAAGAAACGAGCGTGAAAAAAAAAAAGGAAAGACAGCGTCTCAGTGATTCATTTTCATTGCAAAGTAATAACAACTTTAATATAAAACAAATAAGGATAACGAACGACACCTAATGACCTTTCCGCACGGGGAAGCTACGTCTCAAGGTCACTTATCAGGGCGTGGGTTTTGGGTTTGACTCCTGACAACATTTATCAGTAAATGAAAGGAAACAAAGGCAACTCAAGGTGGAGCAGCTGTGACCTCTGCTGGACCAACGACTGAAATTCAAGGAGGAAAAAAAAAAAAGAAGTAGCGAGTGCTGAGGATTGGTGCGCTGGGAGGTTACTCTAGATGAAGTCCAAAGTTTATCATTTTCTGTGAAAGAGCACATCAGTCCTGGTGCTACAGAGAGAGACGACGGGTGAGAGGGGAGGAGCGTAGACAGGGAGGTGATGGAGTGGCTGGAGGAGCAGGTAGGGGAGGAGCGGGAGGGGGAAGGAGGAAGGAGGAGGAGCTTATTTGACCAGCCTCTTGGCTACGTCTGCGTAAGCGATCTCGATCTCCTTGTCACTGGGGCAGGTGTTGGTGAACTCCTCCCGTGTGTAGGCGACGTTCAGGTACTTCCAGATGGACGTCATCTCTTTGGGGATGTCGAAGCCTCTGTACTTCTTGGCCACCACCTGCAAGGAAAGGTGGATGGTTAGAAACCCCCCAAAAAAATTGTTTTTAAAAATCCAAAAACATGTTCGATTAGTGTGTAGACAAAAAATATAATAAAAAGATAAATTATCAATATGTTTTATTTTTAAATTGGTGTAAGGTTACTCTAACCCAGAGGTTCCCAAACTGGGGGGCGTGTCCCATGGGGCGTACCACAGCATGTTGTCCAATGATGTAAAATGTTTAACAAGAGACTGGCAAAGAAAAAGTAACATTTAAAACGTGTGAAATAAACTAGCCTGAAAACAACAACATATATGTGTGTCCTTTTTATGTCTATGGGGTGGGAGGGGGGTGGGGGGCGGTGGGGCAAGAATTTGCTTATGAACAAAAGGGAAGCCCGGCATACAAAGTTTAAGATCCACTTTCCTAACCCTAAATATATTTTTTATTTAAATTACATATTTCAATGCAGCAGGTGTTAAACTGATTAACTACTGTATGGTGTTTTGTTTTTTTTTGTTTCTCTATTAGAAGATTTATGGCTTGACAACATGTAGAGTCGTACTGTTGACCTCTGCAACACAGACGGTGCTGTAGGATCAAACACAACAGGGTGTTAATTAATCAATAATCAATTATCTGAGTCAGACAGCGACACGCCCACGTTGCCTCTGTCGCGTTCACTGCTCAAAGACAGACAGGTATTTGAACCCGACACCGCGTTGGAGAACAGACACTGAAACCTGTGATTAAACTGAGCCCGGCTGTGTTTACGGTGTTGTCTTACTGCTGGGAACACACCGGTGTCTGGGTGTAGGTGACGTAGACGTTTATGACAAACACCATCAGCTCTGTGTCTGGGTGAAACTCTGGTGGGCCACGCACAGTGACGTGGTGGTCCGGACCTGGTCTGCGGGCCTTGAGTTTGACGTATGTGAGCTAAAGAGTGGTAGCTACTTTGTCAGAACTGTGTATGATCCCATCACCAACTGACATTGGTCTGTGAACCTCATCAACTGACATGGTCTGTGAACCTCACCAACTGACATGATCTGTGAACCTCATCAACTGACATTGGTCTGTGAACCTCATCAACTGACATGGTCTGTGAACCT